TAATCTGGTGTGTTGGGCTACGAAGATACAAGCTGCCATATGATCTAATAGCTCAAGACAATTTCTTGACAATGTTTAAGGACTTAATTGAATTCTTGCAATATGATTTTTCAAGTTTGTGAACTTGTCCACAAGTAGGTAAACTCTGGCTATCACAGCATTTGGAAAAGTTCCTATAAAATCTATCCACTGAACTGGGGTCAAAACAGACTTTTTGAGATTGAATTGAAGGCCTAAACTGTGGAACAGAGACCTTGTCATTGGTTAAGATTGACCCCTGAGAAGCCAATCATTGAGATGAGGGAAGCCAACTATACCTAGTCAACGTAGGTGGGCAACTACAACTGCCATGTCTTGGAGAATACTCTTGGGTAGAGGAGAGTCCGAAAGAGAGCACATGGTATCAGAAGTGATTGTGGTCGACTGTAAAATGAAGAAACTTCTGTGAGAAGGGTGAATTGTGACATGAAAATATGAATCCTGAAGGTTGAAAGTCACAAACAAATCTCCAGAATCTAAGGAGCAAATTACAGCTGCAAGAGTCACCATCCTGAATTTCTGCTATTTCACATAATTGTTTGGATGTCTGACATATAATATTGGTCTTCATCCTCCATTCTTTTTCGGGAACAAAAAAAAATACTTGGAATAGAACCCCTTTCCCCTGTACTGGAATTGGTTCTATAGCTCCTAAGCATAGAAGGGAAGTGACTTCCTGCCTCACCTATTGATTGTGAGATGGGTCCCTGAAAAGGGATGGAGAAAAGGGCTGGGATGGAGGGATGGAAACGCAATACATTGAATAATTGATATTACGACTTCCAAAACTCATTTGTTGGATGTTATTCTCTTCTGTGCAGGTTGAAATGGGAGAGGTGTTATCCAAAGGTGGGGAGGAGGATAGAATAGTACAGCTATAGATTCTTGTGGAATGGATGATCTGGACTCTTGACCAAGTCATCAAAACTGGCACTTGGACAAAACGGAGGGCTGGGATGAGGTACCTGTTGCAGTTTGTAGCTTCTTTTTAGAGAACCTAGGACTCTTGGCAGGTGATTCAGAGGGTCTATGGAAACTAGAGAAATGAACTGGGTAAGATCTCTGAGTTGTCTGAGACCTGCTAAATTTTCCTTTATTTGCAGGTATATAAATCCCAAGGGATCTATGCGTGGCCCTCAAATCTTTTAAAGCGTGAAGAAAGTCATTGGTAGACTCAGCAAACAATTTGAGACCATCAAAAAGGAAGTCCTCAACAGTACTCTGCCCCTCTTTATGGAAGCTGCACAACTGAAGCCATGAAGCTTGTTGCATCACAATCACAGTGGAAATGGACTGTGCTGCAGTATCAGCTGAATCTAAGGAGGCCTATAATGACGTTTCCACTAAGAGTTGCCCTTCATTTATGATGGCCTTAAATTGCTTGTGGTGCTCCTCTGGCAAATGCTCAATAAAGGGGTTAAATTTATTATAATTCAGATAGTCATATTTTAACAAGAATGCTTGTTGGTTAGCTATTCTGAATTGCAATGATGCAGAGGAGTAACTCTTATGACCGAAGACATTGAGTCACTTCTGGTCTTTGTTGTAAGGGGTAGACTTAGCACTGTGTGCATTCATTAACTGTCCAAAACCAGGAAATTTGGTGTTGCGTGTTAAAATAAAAACTCTGAGTCCTTGGCTGGAACATAGTAGTTTTTTGTCAGCATGTTTACAGATGATCTTAGCAGGCTCTAGCAAAAAACAGAGAGGGCAACACATACATAAATGTCCAGGAGTTTATGATGAGAATCCTGGACATTTATAAAGGAATATTAAGCATAAGCAATTCGTTTCTTCAGCTCCTGGAATTGTCTAAGGTCATCTGCCATGGAAGGTGGCGGAGGCATTACAGCCTCATCTGGCTATGATGATGAAATATTTGTATGAGGTGTTGCCTCGTCAGCCCTTACCTCCTGCTCCTCAAAGATCTCCTCTAATGGTTCAGGTTGACACGATGGAAGTGAAGACAATGGAAAATGATTCTGCCTATGCTCCTTATGAGTGTGTTTTTGGGCCCTTATGAACTGTTGGTGATATAGGGCCCAGGGGTCCCGTTAAGGCCACTGTGGGGCTCACAGGGCATGGGAGGAGGCATCTTCTGTTGATCATACCAGGTAGACAAGGGTCGAAGTCATCTGTCCTCTCAGAATGGATAGCAGAATAAGCAAGAGAACACTATACAAAAATCTGTCATAATAGTCATTGTCAACATATTCAAGGGGAGGTGATACTTGTTCACTCTGGATGTCAAAAACGGTATAGAAGGAGGTCCCAATGAAAAATGTGGCGTTGATAACCCAGAGGATCTCGGTGCAAACAGATGTCCAGTACCATTAATGGGGACTTTGGCTCATTCAAGACAAGGTTCTTTGAATACGAGACTCCTGCAGTGCCAATAGTATGTAGGCAGGAGTTAAACGAGATCCTGTGGTGGCCGGCTTCAGTACCAAGTTTGGTATCTGTCTTGAGTGTGTGTGCACTCCGGACCCTGAGTATTTGGTATCAGAATGTCCAGGGTCAGACTCAGCACTATCAATGCAGAGCTATAGGATAATGACATAGCTACTGGGGATACAAAAGTGTCTGATGTGACAAAATTCTTTGGCACAGAACTTCTACTGGTATGGATATGACTACCCAAAGATGAAGTTGTCTTCAGTACCATATCCTCTTTGGTAGAAGTATGGCTCTTAGAGGACACTTTAGATATCCTCAGAGTACTGGAGTCACAGGAAGCCTCAACACAACTCCCTTTGGGACCTGAGGTCTCCAGAACATTTTTCTCAGAAAGTGACTGAGACGTCTTAGAAGGAGATCTAGGACTCCTACTTTTCTTATCAGTACCCAGAGACTTAGAATGTGAAGCTCCCTGTACTGTGGATACTGGGGCAGATGCTGGCTTCCTTGAGAATTTCAATGACCGAAACCCAGAGGTGGGTGGGGTAGCAGCAATAGTATCCCCTGAGGCTATTAGTGACAAGGATACTGAAGTAGATGGGGTACTAAGTGTGCTTAGAGGCCAGGTGCAAGGTGGTTCTCAGAGCTCAGGTCGGAGACCAGTCTTAGGGCTTGCTCAATCATCAATAACTTGATTTTGATCCCTCTGATCTTTTTTTTTTTTTTTTTGAGATCTGCTTTTGAAGGAGGAGCAGGTCTTATACTTACTCAGGATATGGGTGTCCCCCAAACAGCAGAGTCACCAAGAAAGTTTGTCATTGACCAGGATAGCTGCCGGCAGGAAAGGCTGGGAATCCTCCCATACCACAGAAAAGAAAACCACCCCTCAATCAGGAAAAAAAACTAATAAAAGGGGAACAACAATCCCAACAAACAACTAACTAACTATACTGTACCAAGAACAGCCTGAGTAAAGAGGGCATGCTTGATGCTCCATCTCAGGCCAAGGGTTGTTGAGAAAGGACAGAGGGTAGTTTGCTCATACAGCCCTATGTATTCTTGACTTGGGGCATGAGGATGTGCAGGGCACATGTGAAGGATGAACAGACACTGCTACTGAAAATCTCTGATCAAAGGTGTATGGAGGCACATGCACACCTGAAGTAGAGCATCCATAGGGACACTACTCAAAGAAGAATCCCCTTTACAGTGGTCTAAAACTCCTGTTGCTAGCCCTCCAGGGCTATAAGATACCATATCAGACTAAGTTTGTGATATTTTTACACATAGAATTGCTGTTACTGACTCAAATCTCTGGAGATATCCTCACAGAAAATAATGTGCTGCCCCATTCCACATTGCATTCTGTGGCATACCCCTACAACTGAAACATTACCTGAGTGGTGGGTTGGGGACAGCAGATAGTTGGACACATATCTGCAAAGGAAGTGTTAGCATAGGACGGGAGTGCCCTGAAGAACAGTGCAATCACTTGACCTCTCTATCAATGTCTCTGCTCCTTTGGTAGATCTCAACCTCTGCACATTCATTAAGAGGACGGAGACACAAACTCAGGGCAAGTCTAAACTACAGCTGGGATCGACCCTCTGAGATCGATCCACCAGCGGTCGATTTAGCGCGTCTAGTAAAGACCTGCCAAATCGGCTGCAGATTGCTCTCCAGTTGACCCCTGTACTGTACCCCCGACAAGAAGAGTAAGGTAAGTCGACGGGAGATTTTCTCCCGTCGACCCCCCATGGTGTAGACCCCGCGGTAACTCGACCTAAGGTACTTCGACTCCAGCTACGTGAATTTCTTGGTCCCTAATTTTTTCCTGTACAGGGGATGAATTTTTCCCTACCAAAACTACAATATACACGAAATAAAAAGGCTACTATGGTTAAACCAAAAGCTTTTTCCTCTTTGTTTACCTATAAACTATATGACTCATCCTTGATACTATGATATCTTACTTAGTTTTATATGCTACACAAATGAAAGGATAACAATAATAAAAAGAATCCTGAAAAGAAAATGCTTATTTCTTATACCTGCTTGTAATCATATTTATATAAAATGTGGTGTTCAGTATTAAAATGCTAAATAATTCTCTTTGTGGATTATACAGTTTAGTAACTAATATAGAAGATATAAGCCATCATTTACAAGAAGATGCCATCTGCTGAGCAAAAGTGTAATCAGCAGGCAATTTCTATTACAGCCAAAATCTTTTTCTTCCTTTATTGATTTTCTCCATTGCTTTCCTAAAGCCCCCCAAGCAATCTGAGCCAGTGTAGCAAATGAAGAAAGCATAGGACGTCTCAATGACCCCAATATCAATTCTGCTTTGTACTTTACCCTGTCTCAAGGCTATGGACCCGATAGGTTAGTTCAAGCAAGAGACAGAAAATAGTATATACAGTATGTACACACACACACACACACACACACACACACACACACACACATTCAGAGCAGCTGAGTAGAAATGACAGGTTAACCTTTGGAATTAAGCCTAATAAATTTGTAGTTTTAAAACAACTTGCAGATATTACACTATTCACCTGTATATCAGTTAACTGATTCTTCATAGTACTCTTTTTGTGCTCCAGTTGTTGTTCTGCTTGTTTCTTCTGTTCATCTAGTTCTTGCATTTTCTGATTCAGATGGTAAAGTTTCTGGAAAATATATGCATAGACAGATGTGTTAGTATTCAAAAGTAATTGTCCTTTTTTCTTTGGGAAATTATAAAACACATTAGCCATTAAATACTTTTCTTTAAAAGTTTCCATTTATAAGTTCATCTTTAGTTTCACTTAAACAATTTTTTCATCTAGTTCACTTAGTAGCTACAGTATATATTCATGTGTATGCATTCAGAAACACTTCAAACTATATAAATAGCATTTTAAACATACACACCCAGTTATGTTGATTCATATATTGTAGTCTGTCACATAGCAAAATATCACTGTTTCACCACTGATTATAAGCAAATCCCTTTCTTCCCAGTGGTTCTATGAGTTTATTTTGCCAGCTAACAAATAGACTTTCTATGTTCAAAACAGAGAAACGAGGTGGGTGAGGTAACATCTTTTATTGGACCAACATCTGTTGGTGAGAGACAAGCTTTCGAGCTTACTCAGAGCTGAAGAAGAACAGAGAAACGAGGTGGGTGAGGTAACATCTTTTATTGGACCAACATTTGTTGGTGAGAGACAAGCTTTCGAGCTTACCCAGAGCTCTTCTTCAGCTCTGGGTAAGCTCAAAAGCTTGTCTCTCACCAACAGAAGGTGGTCCAATAAAAGATATTACCTCACTCACATTATCTCTCTAATATCCTGGGCCCAACACAGCTATAACAATACTGTTTTCAAAATATGTGTTCTGAATGGTCTACATGAAAATAGCATAAGGGAGGCAAGAAATACTTATGGTTTAGTGACTGTGAATTAACAAGGGAAATAGCACTTAGGAGAGCTACTAAGAACCCGTAAGAAGAGAAAGAATACCATATTGGGATTTCTCATTTTTACATCATTCACTAATCCAGTGTGTTATTAATTAACATAACCAGAAAATTAGTTTTTTAAATATCTGCTGTACTAAACACATTTACATCATTGGTATAAGTGCAAACTACTAAATGATAGAAGTAGTTATTAACGTATATAATGATTAAGTAAAATTTGTAAATTACTCTTTACGTATACAAAAAATATACAATGATAAAGTAATTCAAAGTGTTTTATTTGATAAATTATGAAATTATGTATCATATGTAACAGCATTAAATATAGCATTCACATTCTGATTCACTTGCAATACTTTCAATTTTTAATCAAAGAGTTTAAGTTCTTCCTTGAAATTACTAACATTTTTTGAATATTATTCAGATACAAACCTGCTTGTGCAAACATTGTTTCCAAGCTTTTAAGACAGAAACAAATATACAGCTAAAGACAAGGATATATAACTCATACCACACCCCTCAAGATCTCCAGAAGACTAATGATGTGATCTTTGTCACATTGTTTCTAGTAAATTTTACTTAGGGAAGGGCTAACAACATTAATCACTGTCATTAACATGTTGTTTTGAAATTACTATTAGCTATTAGAAATATCTTTTTGTAGTTTTATGTAGCAGTTGTGACTTATTATACCTGCATCACAAATAAACGATCTCAATTATTTTAACATACTTTAAAAAGAGAAAAAGGAAAAATTGAGTCCCTGTAGGAAGTGAATGCAGAGAAAGAAGAGGGTCTAGACCAGGGATTTTGTTTGTTTACCGCGGTTTGCCGCTCCAGGCCAATGGGGGCTGCGGGAAGCGGCGCGGGCCGAGGGATGTGGGAGCCGCGATCGCCGAACCTGTGAACGCGGCAGGTAAACAAACATGCCAAAGGTTGCCGATCCCTGGTCTAGACTGACAAGTCTGACTCAACAGTCAGAAAACTGAACTCAGAGTAAATTGTAGATGAGATTGCTTGGGAAAATTCTTCCAGTAGAGATGGAAGTCTTCACTAGCTTAACTGTGATTCTGCAAAAGAAGATTCATGTGAGTTGGAAGAGGTCATGGAAGTTTTCATACCAAAACTCGTGTGTCTAAATTAAATCTGACAGATTCACAAGACAAAAGTGATTTTTTTCTGAGAACTTTCTGTAAAAGTAGTATGGTTTTCTGTTAAAGCCATACCCGAATTCTTGACTCCAATCCTGGACAAAAAATCCATTAAATGGCCAGGTTTGTTCCCTGTTGTGTCTGGAACATAACTGAAGGCAGTTTACATTCTCTTTGGTAGCAAAGAAGTCTGTTTGAGGAGTCTACTACTTTCAGAAGATCAAAGCAGTAACTGTGTTTTTGAGAAACCACTTATGTTGACTAGTGTGTTTTCAATTCAGGTTGTTAATGTTTTCTTTGTTAGGCAAGTGAAGCAGCATACACTTTTCCCAGATCCAAAAAGCTTCTTGTCACACTGAACAAAAGTGAGCTCCTGCATGCCTGTTCATACAACACATGGCAGTGATCAAGAGAAGAAAGGCATACGCAAAACTTAGAGCTAGCATGCTGATGTGAACTACAGTCTCCTCACAGTTTCAGAGATCCTGGATTGTATGATCATCTAAGTAAGATCCACAAGGCATGTTAGAAGCACTTGTTGCAATCACTGTGGAAGGTTGAGAATAACTGTAAGGTTCTCCCAAACACACATGCCTTACTGCTATTCTCAGTATCATCTACCTTAATAGCAAGACTACCGTGTTCTGTGGCATAGTTCCTAAGGACTAAAGCCTCGTCTACACTAAAAAGTTAGATAGACTCAGCTACATCGTTCAGGGGTGTGAAAAATCTACACCCCTGGGAGAAATAGTTAAGCCAACCTTGTGACGGTCTATACTATTATGGTCATAACTTTTACAACTCTGCGATAAATTTTGTACGAAGTATGCCTTGTCATAATAAAATATGTGTATCAACATTATATGTAAAGCTATATGTTTCTACTGCATAATATTGCTGTAACGTGTTCCAGAGTTAGAAAGGCAGGTCCAAACTAGTTTTTCAGAGACAAAGACACAGTAGCACCCAAGCCAGGTGTTAAAGAGACAGTTCAACCCTCACGTCCGCAAAAGACTATTTGTTGCCTACATCCCAATTGGGGGTAATCCTCCAAGAGGAGAAAGTGGTATAAGAGAGAGACAGTGGCCTCCATTTCACCGCTTCTTCTCCCATCTCTCTGCTCATGACATCAACAACTTTCAAAGAACTGAACTAAAGGGGGAGTGGTCCCAGGCTGGAAGGAGGCCCAACCTGTGAAATTTACAACAGCATATGGTGAGACACAACCTTTGTTTTTAAGTTCACTTAGCTTGTTAAATTACGTATTAGTTTGCGTATTACTCTTATTTTCTTTTGTAGCCAATCCTGACCTTTATGCATCAATACTTATAAATACTTAAAATCTATCTTTCTGTAGTTAATAAATGAGAATTTGAAAGTAGAAGGCAGCTTGGGTGAAAGTGATCATGAAA